TCCTTCCTATGCAGGGGGTCAGACTCGATCTATTGAGGTTCTTTCCGGCCCTAACATCTATGAATCTATGAAACCTTGGAAACAGAAGAACTAAGTAGGACTTGACAGGAAGACTGAACCACAGGAAAGAACCCACCCAAAGAATGGACTGGCAGTTAGTAGGGGGCACCAGAGAGGATGCCATGCCAACCATGGTGGCAAGGATGCACAGGGTAGTATATCACCCCTTCTACAACACACAACCTAGAAATGATAAACTCAGCCACTACAAATACTAAAAATAAAGATAGGGTTGACGTAGTTAAGTTCCATACTGTTTAATGCTTTACAATTCTTTGGAAATGAGAGGTAGATATCATGCAGAACACATTTGTCAAATTACTGGTGAAGCAACATATTTCCAATTAATGTCCCCTCTCTGAATACTGTTAAAACTCTCCTTAAAGAGGATGACTCAGCTCTCTTCAAAAAAAAAAAAAAAAAGAGGAAAATGTGTCTTCTTCTGAAGTATCTGGCAGGTATCAGGTCCTTGCAAATTTCAGTTATTAGCACAGAGCCTGCTTTGGAAATATTGACCCAGGATCCTCCCTATCCAACAAAAGAATTATCCCATCTTCTGGGAATCACTATGTACAGATGCAGTAACTGAGAAATAACCACTGTAAGTGTTCACAATTAAGTTAAATAAAATACTTGCAGGGAGTAGGGGACTGCAGAATCCTAAGTGTATAATAAACTAAGGATTGGTTCAAAGGTATTTAGGCATCTAAGTGCTACTGAAATCAATAGGAGGCAAGGACATAAACTCCTTAGTAGGACTTGGCTTTAGTGTCCCAGAAGCTCCTCTTTACCTTTGTCTGTGAAAGGGATAATGAGTTCCTTTGCAAAGCACTGATGTAACCAAAAAGCAGTCTATTACATCTCCACTCTATGCAGACATGCAATAATCATCATCATAGTAGCTTCAAATGGCCATATAGTAATTCATATATTCTCATTCTTCTTATGAAGAAACAAAGTAAAAGAACGAGGACGTGGAGTGAAGGATCATATCATCAATAAAAAGGGAACATAATATGATCATTCACTCGCTGTATCAAACTTTAAATGACGTGTATAAAGCTAGCTTTATGATATGCACAAATGCCGCCTGTTAACCACACCGAAGCACATACCGATGCCCAATTTCCTCCTTATGCTTTAACAGGGCTTGCTTTGCCATTTCTGGAGCAGTAAACTGCACAAAGGCTTCTCCAGTTTTTCTGTTTCCTCTTGGGTCCATAACAAATGTTATATCAGCAATACTCAAACCTTTAGGGGATAAAAGCATTGTCAAATGTGAGCTGTACCATATGCATTTTTCCTCAAAGGTTGCAAGTCATCTTTTTAATTTATAAAGAATAAGGAAAAGGATATCCAATTCTCAACTGACTTTTCAAGCTGGCTTAATACAATGTGTCACCTATTGGACAGCTGTTTTCTTATTTCTTAACTATTTGATGGATTTGTATGCATTTTACCATATTTTATCACATGCAACACATTCCTGAACAAGATTCACAACTTGTTTTTGAAAAGGAGAATATATATATATGTGCAAAAATAAATAAATAAAGATATGTTTTCCTTGCTCCTGCAACAGGAGACTCTGTGGCAGATGAAAATGTCCAGTCAGCCTGCACTGCAGCATTACTTTCACTGTCCTTCCCCCTCCCAGCAGAAACTGCTATTACCATATTTCCTCATTTATGATGTATACCCAGACTTCTAGCAGCAGAATTTTGGAAAGAGGTGTGCACTGTATGTGAGAAAACACAGTACTCTCTCACAAACCTTAGTCTCAAAGACTTTAATCCTCAAATTCTTCCAGCAAGCAATAAGCAATTACTGTAAAATTTCAGTTGTTTGCATTTTTCTGGGGTGGTTTTTTTTTTTTTTTGAGGGTTTGGTTCTTTTATTTTTGTAAACAAAAAGATATAAACAACTTACTGCTTCTCTGGCAGGTACTCATTTTATTACAGACTCTTGTTCTCAATGTCTACAAACTCATATAGAAACTAGGAAATTTCCAACCATACTTGCAATGCTTCATTGCATTTCCACTGCACAATCCCTTCCTGAAGGCCAGAGAATCCAGAACTAATCGCAACTTGACAATATATGCAGAATTTATGTAATTCTAACCAAACGTTAAATCTGATCTTGAACTAATCCACGTGGAATTAGTGCTCTGGTTATTTTTTTTCGGAAGGCTATATCATCTTACCATAGGATCATAGGAAAGTAAGGGTGGAAAGGACCTCACAGAATCATCTAATCCAGTCTTGTGTTCCAGTCAAGGTCATCCCATTCCTGACTAAACCGTTCCAGTCAAGTGTCCAGGGATAGACATTTCACAACACTGAGGTAGTTTGTTCCAATGTTTAACCACCCTCATAGTCAAAAATTCCTTCCTGACCTCCAGCCTAAATTTCCTGTGCTGCAGTTCAAGGCCATCGCTCCTAGTCCTGCCCCCTACAGCCACAGAAAAAAGGCTATATTTCCATCCTCTCTGTAATTGTTCTTCAGGTATTTGGAGACGGTTAGCAAATCCCCCCACTTAGTCTTCTCCATGCTGAACAATAGTAGCTCTTTCAGCCTTTACTCATAAATCATGCTTCCCAGACCTCTAATCATTTTTGTCACTTTCCAACAGACTCTTCTCAATCTGTCCATATCTTTCATGAAGTCCAGGCCCCCAAACTGAACACAGAACTCTACGTGAGGCCTCACTTGCTGAATAGAGTGGAGGAATCACTTCCCTTGACTTGGAAGAGATCCTCCTGTTAATAGAATCCAGTATGCTGTTGGCATTTTTGGCAGCCAAAGTATGCTTTTGGCTCATATTCACAGTTTATGGCCCAATGTAATTCCCAGGACCTTGTCCTTCTCTCTGCAGTGCTGCAGCCTAGCCAATCACTCCCCAGACTGTATTTGTGCAAACATTTACTCTATCCCAATTGCAAGACTTTTGTATTTGTCCTTGTTGAAGCTCATCTGATTGATTTCAGATCATTTCTCCAATTTATTCAGACTATTTCTCCAATTTATTCTGGATCATAGTCCTACCCTCCAGAGAGTCCGCAACTCTACACAACTTGGTGTCATCTTATTCTCTAGCTCTTAGTTTTCACAATTTGTTTTAAAAGTATCTAGCTGTTATGATTTGAGACACACTGTTTACATTTTGAATATTAAATTGATGCAGTAATGTCCACGCTTGTACAGCCCACTGAAAGTGTAGCAAGTGCAAATACTGTAGGCAACTTGGTCCCTGGTGGCAGTCTAGCTGCAGTAGCACAGAATTCAGCATGGACTAGGTGCCCACACATCTACAGTTTCTCAGGCAGGCTCTGCAGCCCAGGCTGAGCTCCATGCTACCACAAGCAAACTGCTGGCAGGACCTGAACTTGCTAGTTTAATGTTGGCTAGTTATTTCTTCATAAAAGACAGACTTCACTGAAGTCATAACAATGACTCCTCTGTAGGCATACCCTTTATTAAAGGTAAATAAAATGCTGAAAAGTCAAAACAGGAAGCTATCAGCTTGACCATCTGACCCGCTGGGAAGCAGCAAAATTTTCTGTTAGCACTGGTTTCTAAATTATTTCAAAAGCTTCTGGAATAGTTAAAAAAGAGCTGACTCAGAAAAGGATGCAAAATGATCATAAAATACAAAGCAGGATTTAGAGACCTTCCTTAAAACAAAAGGGGTGAACTGGTTTCTAAGTCAAGCAAACTAACTGCCAAGCTGCGCACCCTGGAGGTGTTGGAGGGTTTGTAGGAAGAGGATTAGTCACTGATAACCAGACATGAAGTCTTAGAACAGCAAACAAACTATCTATCTGAAATGCTTTTGCTTTAAACCAAGACTGTCCAACTTATAAGTAGCTTCGGCCTGCACCCCATATTGGTTCCAAGCCCTAGGTGGCACACTGACTCTGAACTCCACGGGATCCCCACTGTGCAGTCAGAGCAACACCCCCAGGGCACAGGCAGCAGAAAGGTGCCTGCCACCACGTTAGCCCTGCCCAAACCCCATGAAGTGGGTACACACACACACCCCACCACCTGAGCAGAGGGCTCACTGGGCACCTTCCCACTGTGCTGCCCTGCCCCAGAGAACCTGGTTACCACAGCAGCAGAAAAAACTGGGGGAATGGTAGCATGGCAGAAGCCCATAAGCCAAATGCAGCCTGCCAGTTGGACAGTCCTGCTTTAAACAAACATTTTGCTTTAAGGTGTCAGTCAGCTGACTGGCTACCACTAGCCATAACTCCCAGAGGAAAGGCTGCAACAGGTACTGAGCCTAAGTCAGACCAGATGAATTAATCATGGTTGGTTCCAAAAGACTGCAGCCCATGGCCTGGTCAGACAGAATGAACCCTCAATGATTACAGAGAGTACACTCAGAAAAGACAGGAAAGTTGAGACCTGCAGTTATCCTGGTAACTCTAACAGGTATCGGTATTGAAGTAGCTAGCAGACAGCAAGACATCACTGTGGCATTTGAGAATTTTTGCAACTTCAAGTTTCATGAACTAAGTCTAGATAACATAATATTATTTAGAAGTTATAAGCATTGACTGGCTGAAAAGAAAAGAATGTTCTCAAAAGTCACCTGCAAAAAACTCTTCAATGTCTACTTCAGTGCAACTGTATGGAAGGCCTCGGAGACGTACAACTCCATCTTTAACAGAAGGTGGAATGGACAGCAGTCTCTTCAATACAGCATCTACATCTTCATCACGTATTTCAAAAACTACAAAAAAAATAGAGGAGAAAAACATTTTCCTTCACAAGCTACTGCTGTAAAGCTACTTTGAGGAATCACCTCAAAGGGCTTGGGACTGAAGAAATATATTTTCAGTTTCGAGTGTACATTATACTTTTTGTTCCCGAGTTTAAAAAGTGCAGAAGAACCATGCGAGGGAGAGGCACCTGAGAACCTGCAAGCCTAGGCTTTTAGACCTTGCAGACCAGGTAAGGACACACCCCATAGCTTTTTCTGCCTACTTGTATCTTCTTCTCTTCCACTGCATAAGCACGAGCCTTGGCTTCCCAACGTGACTTTTAATCTTCATTCTTTCCAGGACAAACCCACTGGTTCCATGCAGAGTTCCCTACTAGCCATACCCACTAACATGGGGAGCAGATGATATAATCCATATGATTGGAGTGATGAGTCATTCACTTTTTAGTCTTCAGATATTTAAAGATATTGTCATGCAACTACAACAGGAGCTCTCTTGATCTTTTTATATTCAAGGCACCTCTCCATATCCTTTCTGAATCTAGTGGTACCCCATTTCAAAAACTAATTTATTTATTCCTGTCCTTACCTCCTTGCAGCCTGTGGCACCCTCAAAAGGATCTCACAGCAGCCCAGGGTCACTCACTCAAGAATCACTTCTTTTAAACAATGAAGGAAGCCTACAGACATTACACACACACACTTTACTGGAAGAAGCAAAGTGTTACTGTGACTTGGCTCCACAGCATCTGTATAGATTGGGAGCTTCGGCAGGGCTTTTTGCCATTTTTACCTAAAGCTGAGTCAATCAACTATTAGATAAATTTGCCAAAAAAGCCCTACTAAAGCACCTGATCTAGACAGACAATGGGCGAGCTGGGTCCAACTGATGTGCTGCCTCTTCTGGGCACATGCTGGGCTCGGCGCAGGAGCGCACTAAGTTTAAAGCGAATGCCGCTATGTTTTGTTTTTTTAAGGTCTGCAAGCAGCCAAAGTGGCTAGATATTTAGAGAGCTCCAGACAGGGACTGGCCCCTGGAAAAACTGGCCCCGAGTTCTTCAAAAAAAACAAGCTGGTAAAGGATATGGAGAACCACAAGCCCCTATAAGTTCTTTTTATACAGAAAAGGTACACACAGCAAGAAAGACCTCTCACAAAATAACCTTTAGTGTATGCATATGGTACTCTGCCCAGGCTATTTAAGGATCACATTTACTCTCATGGCTACAAACTGTAAAGTAAGAAGTTAGGATCAAAATTAAATGGATACAAAAAAAAAAAAAATATTGAAATTGTCTCCATCTAGGAAATAAACTGAACCCATTCACCTGGGCTGGGGTTTTCTGCCATCTGCCCCCTCTCCATTCCTAACTTGTACTGGAGGGGCAAAAGTTACCTCTGCTGCCATGGCTGCTCCTCCAAGGGACTTGCATGCTGCAACACCAGTGACTGAAGCCACCTGCCCCCATGGCTTTTCCCACCAACCTTGAGAAGGGAGGAGGGAGGGGGCACACTGGGCTAAAAAGCATGGCCCCACATCCCCTGCCTGTCTGCCAGCTCGTAGCAGAGACCACTCCTCATGGCATGGGGCAACCAGCCCAGGGCAACAGTTGGAATCCCCAGAAGAGCAGTCATGAGCACTGCTCTTCCGTGGGATGCTTGGACAGGCACAGGCGAGGAGAGAAATGAGTGCTTACCTCCTTGCACAGAGGCCAGGTGCCAAAGTACACTTAAAGGATCTTACGACACCCTAGTTGACATTCACTGAACTGCAACCTGAGTTCTCACAAAATCCATGCAAGGCTCTTTTGTTAAGTACGATTGGTTGAAAAAAAAAATTCTCATAAAATTTTCACAGAAAATTTTTAACGATTGGGATTGACAAGTATTTTTTTTCCCCACTCAGATTGTCTTCCATTAAAAAAATTCAATTTTTGATTGTAAATGATAGAAATTTGATACTTAAATCTTGCTGCTGCACCTCCGTTTTAGCTTGGATGATTCATTCTCAGCCTTTAAGGGCTAGAATCCCCACGCTCCATCTGCCATGATCCACCACAGTCATGTGACACCTAGGATGTACAGTCTCTACTTATCATAATGCATAATGGGAGATGTGCACCTATTTTTCATAAGCAAGGATCACTGCTTGGACCACAAGATATCCAAACTACAGTTTCCATAAAGCACAAGAACACCATTTCAGAACCAAAAGATTTCCAGGTTTAAGTTTTTGTGGACATAACAAAGAATTTTCTTTACTGAAATTTTCTATACGTTAAAAACCTATTTTCCAACTATCTCTACTATGAAATATGCCTATCCATTTCAGTGACAAGCAGACCAAAACAAAAACAAACAAACAAAAATTGGAAAAAGCTGACTTTTCAGTCATCTTCCCCCTCCTCCAGCTCTTTGTAAGATACGCCTAAACTTTTCCAGAAAAACTATTATGGAAGGACAAGATGTGCCACATAGGATAAAAAAAAATGGATTTTACACTTGATTTTCGTGAAATCTGACTGAAATGGGAAAGTCTCACTCAAAACATGAAACTATATTCAACCTACCGACACCATCCTAATTATTTTTAGGGAAGGTTTTCATTCTAACAAAAATCAATGGCCCCTTTATTTTTCCTTTCAAAGAGTCTTGGTTCATCCTACTCTATGTTCCATCCCTTCAAAACAGCTGAATTTAAAATTACACATACCTTCCACATATCGCTGACCCATATAGCTGTGATGCTTTTCTAAGGCTTTCTGCACATCCTCTTCCGACTCTAGTTCAATCACAGCATCCCCCCTGCGTCTGCCACTGCTGTTCAAAAGGAAGTGTATGCCGCTCTCACCATTTCGAATTTGGCAGCCTAAAAAGATATTAAACAAAAAATATACGTAAAAAAGTGCAATACAATTCGATAAATATTTTCTTCCCTACCATAACCTGCTGATCCAGTCAAAACTGTAGCTTGATCCTGCCTAATACAGTTACTCCTTGCTTAACGTTGTAGTTACGTTCTTGAAAATTGTGACTTTAAGCAAAATGATGTTAAGCGAATCCAGCTGCATCGCAGTAGTTACCTACTAGCAGGTGGCAGCCAAAAAATGTTATAACTGAACGCTGTGCGACTTTAAATGAGTATGTTCTCTAATAGATCCGTGACGTAATAATGAAACAGCATTACCTGGGGAGACGTTAAGTGAGGAATATCTGTATTTCATCTAAACAGTATGATACAGTACTCCATTTAAGTGCACAGCTCCAAGACTTAAAAAGGGCTATGTACTTACCTGGAGCATGCACTTATCCCAACTTAATGTAAAGAATCAGTGCACATGAGGTATGCAGACTGTCAGCATTGAAGTGTTTGCAGCCCTAGCTCCTGTAATTTTTAAGGTTTCCAATAGTTAGTTTCAGGGCTTCTCTCTCTCCATATTTTCAAAGTGCGCAGTGAGGTTGAAATACGCTGTGTTCTTCTGATGCATTTGCACTTAACTGATGTACAGATAATGCTGGTGTTTGTTACATTTTAGCAAAAATTTTCTGCTAATCATATTTTAGCAAAAATTAAGCAGAAAATGTGGACTGGCACAGTGTTACGTAGTTAAGCAAATTATGAACTTCTTTGGTATTCATACAAGTGGAATACATTCTATGCTGGGGCATCAAACACACGGCCCATAGACTGGACCCAGCCCACAAAGCCATTACACTTTTAGCCCATGGGGTTCTTGGTGGGCTTGGGAATTCAGGAGCAGGGCCTCTTCAAATCCAGGGCTATGGGACCCCATTCAAGATAGTTTTTGGCAGCAGGGGAGCAAGTAACGGCTATGCCAACACAGCATCGCTTGCCCCACCCCCACTGGGTCCAGATCTGACCCACAAGGAGCCTTGGGGTCCATAGATCCAGTCTGGGGGTCAGAGCAAGTTTGATACCCCTCTTCTATACCATAACCAACAGACATCATCTCCTGACGTCTAATTTTAAGTTTTTCCCACAGGCTGCTCTGGTTTTTAGAAGACACAAAGCCTTTAAATAGGTTACCTTTCCTTACCAGTTTTCTTGACATCATCCCTACTCCAATGGTGTTGCCAGATTTGCACAACACTTTTATAGCACTATAAAGTTATACGTACCAAAAAGGCTATCCATACACACACTATACCACAATTAGACAATTTCAGCCTAAACCATGAACCAATTCAGTTTTAACTAGTTATCAAACAAAATTTAAGGACTTGATTCTATGACCTGATCTGTACAGGCACTTTTTTTCCCCCATGTGGAGTGCAAATGAGGTAAATGGGCCTCTATGTGGGAGCAGTCTGACCACTTAAATCAAACTAGAGCAGCACAGTGGCCTGTAACTAGCTGGCACACTCTGTGCTTTGATTCTGCAGTTCAAATAATTGAATGGCATTTTTAAAAACCTTTAAAAACAGAATTAAATTATTGGTACCCTCATCACACTCACACATTTGAAAAATAAAATTTTATAAGGAAGAACTGCTTAATTAACATTATTTCCAAGTTATTTTCTATAGTCAGGTCACGAACCTAAGCAAACAACAATTTATACTATCAACACAGAACCTCCACACAGAACAAACAGCTCCCTCCATCATACTACATACCTGCAAAAACAAATTAACACAAGTAATGCTGCGTCTGGCATTCACAAATAAGTTTTAGGTTAAATTATTCATATTTAAACACACACACAATCACATTACATTTGGCCGATGAGAATATCTCTGAACAAAAATTAAGCACTATACCAGCAAAAAAGTCAACCACATCTTCCACAGTGCAAGAGTATGGCAGTCCTTGGGCCCGAATGAGAAACAGGTCTTCCTCTTCTCCCGCCTTTGGTGAATCTGATTCATATTCAGTGAGCACAGGATATTCACCTTCAAACTGAGAGTTTTTATCCTTAAAAAAAAAAAAAGAGAGAATTATTGCTTTTTAAGACAGATTCTAATATTCCATTTTATTTAAAAAAAACCTTGTTTTATAAATCATTCCCTTTTGTGTTAAACATACTCAAAGTCTTTGTGCTAAACGTACTCAATGTGGAGTTTTTCCAACAGGTCATAAAACTAAACAGAGACCCAAGCAGCCTGCCAGATTATCTAGTCCTACTGGGAGGGTTGTTTTTTTTAGCAGTAGGTTTTTCAATAAAGCTAGTTCTAAATTACTTAAACTTAACTACCTTGGAATCTGCTTTTCAAAAACCTATGAAGAAGGCCGTAGGAGTTCACTTCTAGCAACTAACTAGAGACGCCCGAAATGTCTGCAACATAAGACAAACCTACTCAGAAATTATTTTGTTATGACCTCAAAGACCCAGTTCTTTGACGTACTCAACACATTTCCATTCCACAAGAGCAAGAGGAATTTCTTTGAATTGGATGCATTTAGGGAAGTAGCAATAAGCTTACTTTGAAGGGACCAAGATCTTCTGCTCTCAGGCTGGTTTCCTCAAAGGCCATAAAGAGTCTACCAGAAACAGGCAGCTAACTATTTCAAATGCTTCTTACGCTCCTATCAAGGAGGTGAGGATGAGCGTAGAAGAGACATGTGCTCTTATTCTGAATTTTGGAGAAGACTACGGCTCTGGAAGGTAACTCCAGCAGTGACACAGATACTGGCTTCCTTTCCCCACCACTGGCAGGAAAATAGGTCCTCGCTCCTTGCGGAAAACACAGCCCGAGAACTTACCGCCTGGCCACCATGAGTGAAAAAAAGGCAGAGATGACCTTTGAGCCACCCGGCAAGAACAAGGGGCCAGGCCAGATCTCAGGGCCGCCCAGCACAGGATTTTCAGCGACCCTCTGAGGGAAATAGGAAAAGGAGAGGGAGAGGGAACTAGGAAAAGGAGAGGGAGAAGCAGGACATGGAAGCGAGCAGGGGAGATGAAGCGCGAACCAGGCGGTCTAACCCAGGTGACCTTGCCGGTACCCTCCACAGGCCGGGTGCGAGGAGCGGGCCAGGCGCTCTCCCGCGCCTGCGGCCGGCGGGGGGAGGGGAGGGG